AAGAAAAGAAGAGGGCAAGGTGAATGAAACTGGGCTCCAAGTGTGCAAGGTCAGGCCACTGGGGTTACTGACGGCCAAGAGGTCATGGAGGGGCCAATGTCAAGAAGTCAAAGGGGTCCAAGGTCACTGACCTGCCCGAAGCAAAATGACCTGGTCATCCAGAGGCAATGAGGAAAAGTGTGGGATCCTCTTTGCCCACTCAACAAGCGTGAAGAGCTGTTTGTCAGCTGCCTGACAGATGTTAGTCACAGGGTCATTGGGCTGCCGGAGAAAGAAGGCTAAGAGTTATAGAAGGCTTGAAGGTACATTGAGAGCCCCCCTTGTAATGACACCCTCTTTATCCTGTAATCTTCCTTCAAGTCCCATCTGAATCAATCCCTGTAAACTAGATACATGTCACCAATTATTTATTTGGAATTTGCCTGTGGTTCTGCAGGTGGGTTATTGTGGGGGTGGGGGTGGGGACATAAACTCTCACATCCACTTCAGATGTGTGAGAGATTATTTTTTGGCCACATTTCCAGTCCTGAGTAGTGTTAGGAGAGTTATAAGGGGAAGGGAGGCTAGGGAGAGGAGTTGGAAGATAGAACAGACCACAACTCCCTCCCCCAACCCCTTCTCCCATCAAGGAGAAGGACGTGACCCCATCAACTCACGCTGTTGCCGCTACCCCCGGTTCCCCCAGGACCCTCGATGCCCTGGTCACTCTTCTGCTCCACAGCAAGCTCTGCCTCCAGGATCCTGTCCACAGGCATCTCCTCAGGGGCGCCCCCAGCCCCCTCCCCATCCCCGTCCTTGTCCTTTCCCCGCTGACGTTCCTCCTGGACCGCTGCAGGGGGCGGGGAGAGAAAGTGGACAATCAGCAGCCAGTTATGAGGGGTTCAAAAATGTCCTTTAGGGCCTTATCAGAGTCTTACAGCCCTTAGGAAATTTTTATAGGAATTGAGGAAGTCACTAGAAACAGTGGCCTGGGGACAGTCTGGAAACATGAGTCAAGAAAGAAAACGGGAGAATAAAGAAATGAGTAAGAAAAGTGAAGGAAGCATTTAAACGAGGGGTTTATTATATGCTAAGAAATATGCCAAGCACTTTTTGTTTTAACATTTACACAACCATCACACCAACCATGCTAACTACTGTTCCCATTTTTTTAAAAAATGAAGAATTGGGGGCTTTGGATGTGTTCAGTAACTTGCCCAAGTTCACACAAGGGTGCCTGACTACGAACTTTGTGCTCTTCATACTCATCACAGAGGCCGTGAAAGGACTGCTGGCCTGGCCTTCAGAGATATGGGTTCTGATTCCAGTCCTGCCACTCTTTCATTGCACGACCTTGGAAAAGTCATTTACCTGCTAGACCTCATGTTCACCTTCTCTAAAATTATATTTGACTAAGATACTCTTAAAGTGTTTCTCTTAGAATTCCATAAATCAGACTTAAGACTAAGATGGAAGAAAAGCAAGTCCTGTGGATCTTCAGTAATGTCTATAGCTTAAGAAGGTAGAGGACCAGAGGTTGGAGGAAAAACTGTAGCTAACAGAGAGGCAGAGACCAGATAGGGAGCATTGGATCAAAGAGAAAAGGGACTATTCAGGTTAGATAAAGGGAGCTAGAGAGGCCCATCATAGGAAAGGAAGTTATCCCACCCTAACAGGAATTGGGGAGAAGTCACAGGAATTGGCCAGACAGGCAGAATCACTAAGAAGGAAACTATAGAGGGTACCAGGAAGATGAGTTAAGGAGGGGAAGGAGACAGCAAATATCGCCCTCTAGAGGAGAAACAGTCCAGCCTTACTGAGAAATCCCCAATTTTCTCCAATCTTCCTTCTTCCTCCTCCCTCCTCTCCCACAGTGTGGGGGTGGAAAAGGAAGGGCCTGGGAACTGGGATGTCTACATGAGGTCAGCCCTTACCCTCCCTTTTCATGCCTGTGGCCAGGCACTTCTGATAGCGGCAGTACTGACAGCGGTTCCGCTGGCGCTTGTCCACTGTGCAGTCCTTGTTGTCCCGGCATGAGTAGGTCAGGTCCTTACGGATGGTACGCTTAAAGAAACCCTTGCAGCCCTCACAACTGTACACCCCATAGTGTTTGCCTGCAGGGGAGAGGAAGATAGCGATAAGAAGGCTGCAGAGAGAACTTCTCACCATCAAATCTCTTGCCAACCTCCCCAGCCAAAGTTTAGTTTAAATCTTCTCTGTGTTTGCCAAACAAAGACAAGGAATCAGGAAGTAAGGGATGATCCATCTCTGTTCTCCCTGACTGTTCAGAAACTATGCCAGCCCCATTCTACATGTTAGCTTCAGGTTCCTTAGCTTTCCCCAGCTCATTTACTCTGACCTGATCCCATAGCCCCTGGAAATCCCACAGCTGATGATAAGTGGCCCAGACTCTTTTACTTCCTCTGCTGGTCCTCTGAGCCCCATACCTGAGCTTCTGTCTCCGCAGATCGCACACAGACGTTTGCCAGCCCCAGGGCCACCTGGAGGGGGTGGACAGTGCAGGCCCCGGACCCCTAAGACTGGGGGTTTCACATCTTCAGGGGGGCCAGACCCACCCCCAGGGAGCGACACTGTTGAGTTAATCTGGGATGAGGGAAATAGGGGGGGGGGGTCACAGGGAGACTCTCATAAGTGATGATGGGAACCATTCCCTCCCATCTGAACAGGGCCTGCGTTGCACATTCCAGAGGACACTCTTTACACTGTAGGCTACCTGAGGGTCACTCTGGGGACTCCAATCCCAAAGAGAAGATGTAAACAGCGCTCCCTGAAATTGTGCAACACAGTGGGCCTGAGGGACAAGTATCTTAGGGCAGATGGAACCAAAAGGGCAGAAAATCACTGACAGATGAAAAAGATGTCAAGAACATCGGGGTCCTTTCACACGGCTCAGAGAAAGCATGCACTGAAAGATCAGTCACCTCGGGAAGGACAAGGGGGTCTCACAGGCCTATCAGGATTAGAGGACTAGGTCAGTGGGCCACAGGGAAGTTCACACAAGGAAAACAAAGAAATGAAAGTGGAGAGGCAGTAAGCAGGTCTCGACCTCTCACCTGGGGGCTGCTGACAGGCCCGGAGAATCCTGGGGGAGCTGGAGGGGGCAGACCTGGGGACCCCATGGAAGAGCTGATGACGGGGAAAGGGGAGCCCAATGAAGGTGGTGGCAGTGGGGGTGGAGCCCCAGGGCCTCCAAGGGATGGGGCTGCTGAAGAGGGAAGAGGTGGCCCAGGAGAAGGGGGAGGTGCCCCCTGGGTAAGGGGATTTGGGGAGGAGCTGTCTGGGCTTCGGGAGTCTGAGGAAGGGTTACAAACAGGCACAGAGACACACAAAGACAGGAGAGACAAAAAGAGAATATGAGTTTCGTTCATTCAACTGAAGGCTTTAATTCTCTAATTCACTGATGTACCCGGGTCTACTCCATCCCACTCATCAGCAAGTCCAGAGACATTATGTTGTCAAACAGTATTTACACTGTTAATTATGATGGGGATGGAGGGGTGTTTGACACAGGTGAGAAGCAGAGTTCAGGTGAGGCACAATCCCAAGCAAAGTATTCAGATGACTACCGGGTCACTCTAAACCAGACCAGACTCTTGTGGGTGGGGCAGCACGTGGGATCAAACAACCAGTCCCACCGTTTCCACTTTGTAGCTAGGAAGGACGATAGTGCAAGTGACGGATATTGGCGTTAGAGACCCCTCCCAAGGCCATGGGATCCACCTTCAAACGTCCAAAGCCCTCAAGCTCGAAGGGAATCGCGTCCTTCCCACGCCCAGACTTCTAAAGCACAGGGCCTCAAACGGCCTAAACTAGGAGGGAGGAAGCTCCCCCTCCCCGCCCCGCCCCGGGGGGAGGGCGCTAAGGCCCTCGGGAGGGAGGGGATGCGTGTTTACAAACAAGGGGGCGGGAGCGCCAGGGAAATAGCGCTGGGGGAGGGGGGGTTTACAGACATCGCGGTCACTCGCTCGCCTGCCGGCCTGCTAGGACACTCACCCCGCCCGCTGTCGCCCATTCCGTCCCGTCCAGCCTCCCCCGGCTCCGGCTCCGGGGTTTGTTGTTCTCCGGCTGCCGCCGCCGCCGCCGCCGCCGCTGCGGGATCCAGCCAGGGCCGTCGCCGCCGCCACCGGGACGCGACCCCACAATGCATCTCTTTTCGCACCCCCACCGGCCCACACTGCCCTGCGGCATGCCGCTGGGGGAGGAAGGGCGGGCGAGCAGCCCAGGACATGATTTCTAGTTAAGTGCAGGAATACCGGAAAGGTGCCAGGAGTTCCCAAGGATTGATCAGGGGACTAGCTGAGCACGAGGAAGCCCCTGAGAAAGACTCTGGGCCTGGACCGAGTCGAACTAAGCACTTCGCTCTGCTCTGTACCAAAATGACAGCGCTGATGTGGCAGCCATCTTGGTATAGACGGGAAGTCTCAGCGCTAGTACCCGCCCCCGAATCTAGTTGGAAACGGAGGAGGCGGTCTCCTTAGTCCTGTTAGCCAGCCTCACCCAGCCTCTCTCCTCAAATAACCTCCAATTCGCGCATGCTCACTAAGGAAGGGTGGATTCGCCGCTACCTGTGTGCTACCATCTTGGTAAAGGTGTTGGGACGTAGGTAGAACGGAATTTCCTGTTCTCGCGGGACCTGAAGGCGAGAGTGCCACGTCCGAGAAAACCGGGAAAAGAGAGGACCCCGGAGCCGGTGAGAATTCCCTGCGTTTCCCTTACCGTTCTTTCCTCGCCTTTTTTGCCCTCCTAATGGATCATAGAGACGAGGGCCCAGAGAGCCCATAATGTGGAGGATCAAAGCCTAGAGCGGCATGCCAGGGTCCCTACATCCGGGAGGGGGCTTGGGATAAAGAGAACGAGTCTTGGGAACAATGTGGGTGGGGACATGGAATGAAGTGGTCCTTAGTGGTGGCGGGAGGGCCGGAGCGGGGTAAAGTGCATACCACGTAGGTAAGAGTTACGGGTCAAGTGAAGTCACTGTCTCTGTCCCTCTGGTCAGCATGATGGCCAGAGGCCTCGGGGTCCCCCACTGTGTGGCCGTGGGACTGCTGACCTGGGCGGCCTTGGGGCTGCTGGTGGCCGGACACGGGGGTCATGGCGACCTGCACAACGACCAGCCTGAGGACTTGCATGGGCACAGCCACAGGCACCCACATGACGATATCCACCATGGACACAGCCATGCCCATGGCCATGGTCACACTCATGAGAGCATCTGGCATGGGCACAGCCACGGCCACGACCATGGACATTCACATGAGGATTTACACCATGGTCATAGCCACGGCCAAACCCATGAGAGCCTCTACCACAGAGGACATGGACATGACCATGGTCATAGCCACGGAGGCTACGGGGAGTCTGGGGCTCCAGGCATCAAGCAGGACCTGGACACTGTCACTCTTTGGGCCTATGTGAGTCGCCAGGGGATGGGGGAGAGAGGGGCTGCTTCTGGATTGTTAGGAAAACCCTCGCATTTGACCCCTACCTCTCCGTCCCCAGGCACTTGGGGCCACAGTGCTGATCTCTGCAGCTCCGTTTTTTGTCCTCTTCCTTATCCCTGTGGAGTCAAACTCCCCCCGGCATCGCTCTCTGCTCCAGATCTTGCTCAGTTTTGCTTCAGGGGGCCTTCTGGGAGATGCTTTTCTGCACCTCATCCCTCATGCCCTAGGTAAGGATCTTGGACTTCTACCTCAAATCGTGTTTTACTCTCTGGGCAAAAGGGTTCTTTCCTCTCTGTGATCTCTGATCTTCCTGTGTTCCCCAAATATATGCCCCCTTGGGTTCATTTCCTCATCTAACCTTTTTACCCCCTTGCTACAGAACCTCATTCTCACCACCCCGTGGAGCAGCCAGCTGGACATGGACACTCCCATAGTGGTGAGGAAGGGGGAAACTGGATGGAGTTGGGATGGTAGTTGAGAAAAATCTGGCCCTCCCTAATGTTTATCTATGCCTGGGGAGGAGGAATCTAAATGCTGCATTTTCCCCTTAATGTCTCAATGTCTCCATTCCCAGGCCAGGGCCCCATTCTCTCTGTGGGGCTGTGGGTCCTCAGTGGAATTGTTGCCTTTCTTGTGGTGGAGAAATTTGTGAGACATGTGAAAGGAGGACATGGACACACTCATGGTCACCTACATGGAAGTCATGGACTTGAAAAACATGGTGAGCTCAAGTACAACTTTCCTGAAAGTCATCTTGCCTGCCTAACTAATTTCTTGTCTTATGGTTGTTAGGTGGGAGAGGGTGTTCTCTTGAGAACATATCAGGAGGTCTCTTTTTCCTCTCTTACCAACCGCTTTCTCCCCACAGAGTGTCCTTCAAAGGAGAAGCAGAATTCACAGGAAAAAGAAAAGGACACAGGGGGTGCACAGAAGAGGAAAGGAGCAAGTTCAGGACCTAAAGATGGGCCAGTGAGACCTCAGAACCCTGAAGAGGAAACAGCAGGCTCAGGTGAGCATCAGGGTTGCCATCAGCTTGAGGGGTGTCATTGTGAATCAGTGCTCGTGGAATCTGCACTATGTGTAACAGCAAACATTTGGGAAACACTGAGCCCTGGATGTGTAGTGGTCTCTTAGGGTGAGAATGGCTGGCACAGGACTGGAACTGACGATGGTAGATGCCTCTGATGAGCCTCTCCTCTTGTCTAGATCTACGTGTGTCAGGGTACCTGAATCTGGCTGCTGACCTGGCACACAACTTCACGGATGGTCTGGCGATTGGTGCTTCATTTCGAGGAGGCCGTGGGCTGGGGATTCTGACCACAATGACTGTCCTGCTACATGAAGTGCCCCATGAAGTTGGGGACTTTGCCATCTTGGTCCAGTCTGGCTGCAGCAAAAAACAGGTTGGTGATGATTTACACTAAACATAGTTGTCTGAAGTCCTGTATCCCAGCTGACCCACTCCAAACCCAAAACTGCCTCTCATTCGTTTCAAACAAGATCTTTGATGGATTATTCTCCAGAAATGTCTTTATCCTGTCACTTAGTGTTTCTTAAAATGATGTAGTCCATAAACTGAATGGTTTATGTTCACCCCAGCCATGTACCCCAACCTCCTGAATCAGAATGTTTGTGGACAGAATCACTGCTCTAACCTCTTTGGTCTCTAAGATCTTTCAGAAAATGTCTATTTTTGATAGTTCCGCTTCTTTTTTTGCTTTGATATCCAAGGACATACACCCTGCCCATGTATATGCATACCCCACCAGCCATGACTGAAGCACTGATACTCTTTCCCTTTTCCCTGCTGGCTAAAATGCCTCTCTTTTCTGCCCACCAGGCGATGCGTCTACAGCTGGTGACGGCAGTAGGGGCACTGGTGGGTACAACCTGTGCCCTTCTAACTGAAGGAGGGACAGTGGGCAGTGAAGTTTCCGGCAGTACAGGTCCTGGCTGGGTGCTGCCATTCACTGCTGGTGGCTTCATCTATGTGGCGACTGTGTCTGTGCTGCCTGAGCTGTTGAGAGAGGCGTCTCCGTGGCAGTCACTTCTGGAGGTGCTGGGGCTGCTGGGGGGTGTTGCCATGATGGTACTGATTGCCCATCTCGAGTGAGGTGGGATGGACTGCCCCTACTCCTGCCTCAAGCCCCTTGCCCCTCACTTCAACTTAGGGGTCTGTGAAGATTGCAGGCCCTAACCAGGGACATCTGCCAAAGGAAGGAGTTGTAGCTTAAGGGAGTGGTGATTTTGGCATTAGGACCATGAAGGTTTGGCAGTCTTGCAGGGGCTAGAGAGGTGGGAAGGAGAGGCTGGAAGGACCATAGTGTTGGGCACTAACTGGCCATGGTAGTGAGATAGTAGGGGCTAGATGGGGGTATGAAGAAGGCTGGAAGGAAGCCGGACCATGGCAGCCTACCCATGCCCCCTACACCACCTGTTCTCAGAGGACCAAGCTGCCACACACAGGCTTCTACAAGGTCCACCTCTCTCTCTTCCACCTGTTGGAGGAGGCATTGGACCAGAACCCTGAACAGAGGAGGTTGCAGGGGGAATCAGGATAAGCATCAATTAAACATCAATCGTGTGCCCTGATTTGGGAGTGATTCAGAGGGATGGGTGGGAGGGGGCAGAGAGTTAGTAGTTAATCTCGTGGTCTAATCTTTTTGTTTCTATTTTTTTTTAATATATATATACTATCACTGTTTGAATCGAGGGGGGAGGGGGGTGACCGGAAATAAAGTCCTGGGATCTTCCGCCCCACATGCAGTCTTTGTCTGTTTTTTTGGGGGTGGTGAGTGTTTCTTGTCTCCCCGCTCCCCAGACCCCTAATCTGTGGAGTGTGGCCACGCCCACATAGTGGGAGGTCACCGCGCTCTGGTGGCCGCAGATGGCCTAATGATGGCACGGCTTCCATTGGCTCCAGCTTAGCACTCGCCACGCCCCCTCTGCACTCGGATTGGTTCGGTGCTGTGGTGTCTGCCCTTCCGCAGCCCTCCATGGCGTCTCAGCTCCGACTTCGCTCTGCGCTGGCCTTGGTCACAGGTTGAAGGGTGTTCTCCCGTGGCGGTTGGGGGTCCCGAGTGATGTCAGGGGCTTGACCTTGGGCCACGCAATCACCGATCTCTAGTCCCTTGTCCGAATTTTACTAACTTAGTGCCAGGTGATTTCTGACCCCTGCCCCTATGGGCTCTCTCCCATCCCAGGTGCGGGCAGCGGCATTGGCCGGGCCATTAGCATGCGCCTGGCCAGAGAGGGAGCCTCCGTGGCCGCCTGCGACCTAGATGGGGCAGCGGCACAGGAGACAGTGCGGCTGCTAGGCGAGCTGGGGAGCGAGGAGGGGGTGCCCAACGGGACCCACGCTGCCTTCCAAACTGACGTGTCTGAGGCGGCGGCGGCTAGGCGCCTGCTGGAACAAGTACAGGTGAACACGAAGTTACCGCACCCCTTTAAAACGCTGACACTGCCACCACTGCCCAGCTCTGTAGTTTTGTGGTGTGTCATACTCCCCCTACCCCCCCCACACAGGCCAACTTTTCTCGGCCGCCATCTGTTGTTGTGTCCTGCGCAGGCATCACTCGGGATGAGTTTTTGCTGCACATGTCTGAGGATGACTGGGACAAAGTCATAGCTGTCAACCTCAAGGTGGTGACCTCTGAACCTGTGACTTCTTGCCTCCCTAGTCTGGGGATGGGGTTGGAAGAGGGCTGTCACCTTAGTTGATCCTTTCTGCCTTGTTACCCTTTCTCCCTAGGGCACTTTTCTAGTCACTCAGGCTGCAGCCCAAGCCCTGGTATCCAATGGTTGTCACGGCTCCATCATCAACATCAGTAGCATCGTAGGAAAGGTCAGATTAAGTTGAGGAGTTCAGCAAGTTAAGTGTGAGTAGAGGAAAGCCCCTCCTTGGAACTAATCAATTCATCAAATCTCTCACTCATCTATAGGTGGGAAATGTGGGACAGACAAACTATGCTGCCTCCAAGGCCGGAGTGATTGGGATGACCCAGACAGTAGCCCGGGAGCTTGGACGGTTAGTTAGCTGGGAGCCATCATGTAGGCATGTTGGGGGGTCAAAAGGAAGGGGTCATTGTGCAGTCCCCTCCAGAGTCAGCCCCCACTCTCCCTCCACAGACACGGGATCCGCTGTAACTCTGTCCTCCCAGGGTTCATTGCTACACCCATGACACAGAAAGTGCCTCAAAAAGTGCTGAACAAGGTAGGAAGCCATGGGTAGAGGGCAGAATCATTGAGACACAGCCTCACAGACTTCAGAGAGGGAATGCTGAACACAAAGCCTGGAAGATCATAGGTTCTCATTCATGTACAGAGATTTAAAAACAAAGGTCACTGACTCTCAGTGGACCAAAAGATCCTTAAGAGAAACTTTCATCCACATATGAGAAGTGTTTCCTTACAGGTGACTGGAATGATCCCGATGGGACATATGGGGAACCCTGAGGGTGAGCACTGAGTGGGGAGGGGTCCTGAATGAAGGGACCCCAAGGCCTGTGGTATTTGTAAGAGGGTCAGGATTGGTAGTTGGGGTGTGTGTGTGTGTGTGTGTGTTGGAGGAGGAAGTATTTGAGGTGGGACATGATGGTTGCTTTGGATCCATGGTGCTGAGTGCTGCACTCTCCCTACCATTCCCATAGATGTGGCAGATGTAGTCGCATTCTTGGCATCTGAAGACAGTGGCTACATCACAGGAACCTCAGTGGAAGTCACTGGTATGAGGCTGGTGATAGGAGGGAGGGAGAGGGCAGAGAAGTAAATCCGAGCTATGAGAAAGCAGTTTGGGAGAGTCTGGAGCCACTGGGAGAAGGGCTGAGTTTCCTGGTAGGCCAGGGACAAAAGTGGGTGCCTCCCAGCCCATTCATCCCTCCACCTTTTCATCTGCCCAAATGTCTCTGTTCCTCCCAGGAGGTCTTTTCATGTAACTGCCTTGAGGACCCTGGACTCTGCTCACTCCCCCACCACCCTGCCTGGCCTCCTGCTGATGAGGACTCTAAGTTCCCAGGCTACAAAGGGGTGGTAGTGTATGGCTGGGAATGCTGAATATGGGAGGCAGGGGTGCTTGTGACCCTAATAAATTCCAAATCCTCTTCCCTGCCACCTCCGGTTCTTCTTGTGTCCAAGCCCTCAGACCCTTCTCCACTTCCCCCTCCTTTCCCTTTCCCCAAGGATTGTTCCCTTTCACTGCCTGGTCTCCCAGGGCAACCCCCGCCACCGGGTGTGAGAGGAGAGAGTGTGTGTCACTGTGTATTCGTGATACTCTGGATCTTTTGGGAGGGAGGGGTCTCTGCCCCACCCCCTTCCACTGGTCCTGCAGCCTCAGCCCCACCCCCACCCCTGCCTGAACTCCTTGGGTCCTTGTGGTCCCCAAGGGTGATTTGTTCATGGCCCCATCCCAGTGTCCAGTCTGGCCTTGGGAGGGGGTCTTGGAACAGGTGGCCCTCCCCCACCTTCTCCTTTCTGTGATTCCCCCCCTCCCTTTTCTCTCCACCTTACAATAGCTGCAGCCGGCCTGGGGTCGGATGGGGGGATTAGGGGAGGGGGCCAGGATTAGGGGAATGGACCAGGCGATGAAAGGAGCTGGAGGAGAGCAGAAGGGAGGGGGCTAGGAGGAGGAGGAAGGGGAGGGGGTCGGCGCTAATCGACTCTGGAGCCCACATAAGGACTGGCCACGGACAGGAGAGGACAGGAAAGTAGGGGGAACCTGGGAAGTGGGGGGATGGGACCCATTGCTACCTTGTACCAAAGACAGGTCATCCCTGGTAGCCGGTAGCTGCAGGCCAAGTCCGGGAGCCCTAGTTCAGGCTGGTGTAGGACAGGAGGCCGAGGAAGGTCTCTCCCTTATCCCCCTTATTCTCGGTCCTCATCGAGGATCGTTGTGTTTCGTCCTTTTTTTCCTCCCAACCCCCTTCCTTTCCTGAAGAGTCCTGGAGGAGGCTTCTGCTCACATCCCAGTCCTACTCCAGACATTCCTCCCCTTATTCCCACACACCCACACGTAGATCCCCTCCCGATAATGGCCTCATCTTGTGTGTGTGTGCGCGTGTGTGCCCCTGCTTCTGAGAGGAGTCTCCATTGCCCCGTGCTCCTCCCTTCCCTGCCCCGGGTCGCGGCTCTTGATTGTCCAAACGCAATTCTCGAGTCTATGGCTCCGGCCGAGAGTTGAGTCTGGACGTCCCGAGCCGCCGCCCCCAAACCTCGAGGGGAGAACGGGTCGGAGGGTCTAGAGAGAGCCAAAACGAAGGGTGGAGCAAGTCCCCAGGGTGGTAAGGGGAATCCTGGGTGCCTGTGGACTTAGTTGCACTCACAGGACTGGAGATCTAAAGCTGCAAAAGCTCTTTTGCAGCATTTTCCTCCAGGATCCCAGGCTGGGGTTACGGAGAAGTTAGGGAGGTTTAGGATTCCTCGGGGCCGCAAAGGGGACGCGGAGTGGGGGAGGTGGCCCCTTTCCCAGCACTCGGGGTCCGGGCGTACCCTTGCCCCGCCCTCGGGGCGGAGGCGCCGAGTAGGGGGAGTAAGGAGAGGAACGGCTGCTAAGGTTGGGGGGTTATTTCGCGCGACAGTGCTTGGCCGGGGGCGGGACCGTAGCCCCACGTGGCGCGGGACTCCGGGACCCCGGCTCCTTTTCGGGAGGCGGGCGTGTCTCGTGGGCGGAGGAACCCCCGCGCCCACGTCGCGTCCCACCCGCGCTCCGAGCGGCTGGTGACGTCTCAGCCACACGGGTGGGAGGGAGTGGAGGGGCAGGCGGAAGTGACGTAGGGCCCCAGCGCCCGGGCCATGGCGGCAGCAGCGGTGGGAGCTGCTGTCTGAGCTGGGGCTGCAGATTGAGCGAATTCGGCCCGGGAGTCCGTACCCAACGAGAAGCGCGGCGGCGGCTGGGGGCGCCGACGGCTAGAGCCGGGTGAGGACCCCTGCCGGCTAGGGGCCGAGGGGGAGCCTCTGGAGGGGCGGGGTCTGCGCGAAGGGCGGCCCCCTAACACCCCCTCCTCCTCTCCCCTCAGTCTTCTTCTCCCCCTCTGCTGCGGGGCTCTGGTGGGGAAATCTGTGCCCGGTCACCATGACGACGCCGGCGAATGCCCAGAATGCCAGCAAAACGTGGGAACTGAGTCTGTATGAGCTGCACAGGACCCCGCAGGTGACTAGGGGATTCCCCCTTACAGCTTGTCCCCTCATTCCACAGAGCCCCATCCCACAGCCTCTTTTTCCTTCTTTGCTCCATTCTGTCAACCCTGCCCCATTTCACTCACTCTCTGGCCTTCGAATCACCTTAATTTTTTCAAAGCACATTTACATTGTTTTCGTTTAATCCTCAAAACTGTCCAGCCAGGGAGGTAAACGAAGTATTAGAACCTGGTTTGAAAGATAATTAGCTAACGGAAATTTTCTACCACCCATCCTCAACAAGAAGTCTTAGGTCAGTGCATAGAAGAGAGGCTCACCTTAAACCCCACTGCCACTGATGGAGTCAATTCCAATTCATAGCGACCCTGTGTAGGTAGGGTCTCTGAGGCTGTAAATCTTTACGGAGGTAGAAAGCCTCATCTGTTTCCCGAGGACTAGCTGGTGGGTTTGAATTGCCGATCTTGGAGTTTGCAGTCCAGTGCTTAACATACGGTGCCACCAGGGCTCTTTAGACTCACCTTAGGGGCTTGTTTATTGCTGGGTGGTGCAAATAGTTAACCCAGTCGGCTGCTAACCGAAAGATTGGAGGTTTCAGTCCACCCAGACCTCAAAAGAAAAGCCAGTGAGAACCCTATGGAGCACACTTATACCCTGACACACCTGAGTCAGAGTCAACTCCAGGGCAACTGGGAGCTTATAAAAATGGAAACTTCCCCGACCCCACCCCTAAACAGTCTGATTTAGTAGTTGAGATGGGGCCCCAGAATGTACATTTTTAATTAGACCCTTGATCTTGTTGTTAAGTGCTGTCAAGTCAGTTGCAACTCAGAGTGACCCTGTATACGATTTCCAAGGAGCTGCTGGTGGGTTTGAACTGTCAATCTTGTGGTTAGCAGCCCAGTGCTTATCCTACAAGGCCACACCAGCACTCCAAACTAGCATCCTATGCAAATTTAGGTGGTGCCAGGACCACATTTTAAGAAATTTTGATGAGTCTTCTCCAAATCATACATATCTTAACCCCACCCCCAGACTCTTACCCAAACTTCAGACCCTCTTTTTTGCACAGTGCCTATTTTTAGTTAATGGATACACATCTTTTCTGTTCTCCATTTTCTCTAAGTCATTAGTCCCTCTCTGTCTCAGAATTCCCAGCTTCCTTAAGCTGCCAACATGAGGTACTTAAATTCTACCATCTCACTGAATTTCTTGGAACTCCTATTTCATAGGCCACTTGTGTCTATAGACCCTTCCCCCACCACCACCACCTTCTCACTCACTGATGCCTCCAGGAAGCCATCATGGATGGCACAGAGATTGCGGTTTCCCCTCGGTCGCTGCACTCCGAACTCATGTGCCCCATCTGCCTGGACATGCTAAAGAATACAATGACCACCAAGGAATGCCTCCACCGATTCTGCTCTGACTGCATCGTCACAGCCCTGAGGAGCGGGTAACTGGAGGGATATGTTTGCAATGAGGTGAAAGGGTGAAGAGCAGGGGCTCTCTCCCTGGTGTTGGTTCAGCCTGGCCTCCGATGCCCTGATAACTCACACTGGGACCCCCTCTTCCAGGAACAAGGAGTGCCCCACCTGTCGCAAGAAGCTGGTTTCCAAGCGGTCCCTACGACCAGACCCCAACTTTGATGCCCTGATCTCTAAGATCTATCCCAGCCGGGAGGAATACGAAGCTCACCAAGACAGGGTACTCATCCGCCTCAGCCGCCTTCATAACCAGCAGGCGCTGAGCTCCAGCATTGAGGAGGGGCTGCGCATGCAGGCCATGCACAGGTATGGAGGCCAGGAGAGAGAAGGCAACTTGCTTGGGGACCAGCCCACTGAGTAACCATCACCCTTAGCCTCAGCATCCTAGGTGCTAACCATATCCTGATCATCAAGCCTGGAAGCCATGGATGTAAATTGCAGCTTCTTAGTAAGCAATTGCTGCTGCTATTCTTGAAACGAAAAAGCTCACCTTCTGACTTCCTAGAAGGTAGAACAGCAATGGTTGTGAACATAAACTCTCAATTCATATTGCTGGGGATTAAATCACTTCCTAGGCCAACATGTCTCAAACTTTGTGTTTTCCAATTACCTGAGAGTCTTGGTAACATTTCTCAGTCAGTTGGTCTGGAGTCAGGTGATGCTGACAGCTCCCAGGTGATGCTGATGATACTGGTTTCTTGGACCACACTTTGAGAAGTGAGTTCCTGTGATCTTAAACATGTTACTTAACCTCTCTAAGCCTCACTTTCCCCAGCCATATAGTAGAGACAATATAATTAATTGCCTGCTTCATAGGATGAGGTGATCAGGGCAAAATACTTAACAGAGTTCTTGGCTTGTAGTTAGTGCTTAGTATGTATTAGGTATCATTAAGACTTGCCTGATCTCTTAATTCTCTGAAGTTTAAAGTCTAACCCCTTATCCTTGATGCTTTCTAACTTCAACCACTTGCTTCTGCAGGGCCCAGCGTGTGAGGCGGCCGATGCCCGGGTCAGATCAGACCACAACGATGAGTGGCGGGGAAGGAGAGCCTGGGGAGGGAGAGGGGGATGGAGAGGACGTGAGCTCAGACTCTGCCCCTGACTCAGCCCCTGGCCCTGCTCCCAAGCGACCTCGTGGAGGGGGCGCAGGGGGAAGCAGTGTAGGCACAGGGGGAGGAGGCACTGGTGGGGTGGGTGGGGGTGCTGGTTCTGAAGACTCTGGTGACCGGGGAGGGACTCTGGGAGGGGGAACCCTGGGGCCCCCAAGCCCTCCTGGGGCCCCCAGCCCCCCGGAGCCAGGTGGAGAAATCGAGCTCGTGTTCCGGCCCCACCCACTGCTCGTGGAGAAGGGAGAATACTGCCAGACTAGGTGAGGAGCCCTGTCATTCCCCAGACCACAGGGAAACCAAAGATCACATCCATATCCATCACAGATGGGTTTCCCCAAGTCCAGAAAGAATCCTTAACCAGAGGCCCTCTTGGAAAGTCCCTACCTTCTTTCCCAGTTTGTGGCTTCCTGTGCTCTAAAACTGGCCTTTCCCGCTCCAGGTATGTGAAGACAACTGGGAATGCCACTGTGGACCATCTATCCAAGTACTTGGCTCTGCGCATTGCTCTTGAACGGAGGCAGCAGCAAGAGGCAGGGGAGCCAGGCGGGCCTGGAGGGGGTGCCTCTGATGCTGGAGGACCTGATGGGGGTGGTGGGGAGGTGGGGGTTGCCGGAGGAGGTGACAGCCCTGAGGAGCCTGCCTTGCCCAGTCTGGAAGGTGTCAGCGAGAAGCAGTACACCATCTACATCGCCCCTGGGGGCGGAGCTTTCACGGTGAGAGCCTCAGAGCTGTGGTACAAGAGGGGACAAGAAGGGAGGATGGCCAGACAGAATGGTGATTCTGTCTGCCTAGCTTACCAGCCCTCTTCTCTACTTTTTTCATCTCCCCATCACTCCATGTTCTCTTTTATTTATCTCTGCCTCTTGATCATCTTTTGCTTGTCATTTCCTTTGCCGTCTTTCTATTCAACTTCCGTCTTCCTCTGCCTCTTTTACAACCCTTTACCCAGACCCTGAATGGCTCACTAACCCTGGAGTTGGTGAATGAGAAATTCTGGAAGGTGTCCCGGCCACTGGAGCTCTGCTACGCCCCAACCAAGGATCCAAAGTGACCCTGCAAGGGGACAGCCAGAGGATGGGGACCACAGAGTGTCCCTGTGTCCCAGCCTACCACCCCAGCTTCTTTGTTACCCAGTGCCCCCTAGTCCGGCCAACCAGCAAGAGGACACAAACAAGGACAAGTGGCTTTTATACAAAGTATCTATATCAGATTCTTCTATATTGTACAGAGTGGGGCACGCGCCCCCATCTACTGCCTTTTCTATTGACCCCCAACTTCCCATCTGTGCAAGATGTGGGGGAGGGCAAAGAACCTTCCCCTTCACACCCTCCTCCAAAAACAACAAATTTGCTTTTTTTCCTTCTTTGAAACCTGTGATTCTGTGTCTGTTTATCAGGGGTATATATATGAGAAGGAAGGAAAAAATTATGATTGGGAATAGTTGTTACTAAGTGCCATTCTAAGATTTTAAATCTTCGTGAGCAGAAAGCCTCATCTTTCTCTCGCAGAGCGGCTGGTGAGCTAGAACTGCCAAACTTTTGGTTTGCGTTCTAGTGTTTATCCTATGGACCCAGAAACCATGTAGAAGCAGCCTTGGAAATTTGGGAAGGAAATGCCAAGAGGTTATTCTCCAGGTCTAATTAACAATTTTATGAACATGAGCAAATTAGCAAATAGCAAATAGGGAGGGATGATCCACAAAGCTGGAAGAGAGCAGGCTAAGGAGCCAAGAGGTGTGTGAAAGTCACACTGTAAATTTTCGCCCCTAAGTAAGAATCACAAGCTGAAATCCAGGGTTTCATCTATACCCAGAGAAAGCAGGAAAGTGGTGCAGAAGAGTAAGGCATCCTTGTAGATGGCACTAGGACTGTGGCGATGTTTGGAAGGAGCATAATTCTTTGTCCCTCAAGAAGCTGGCTTCTGGCCCTGGAAAAGAAAAAGGGAGATGGGGAGGGCTTTAAGGTCTTCCCTGCTCGCCATCGAAGTCACTCCAGCCACCTCCCTAAGCAGGACGAGTTGAGTCAGGGACTACAATTCCCCAAGAGTTTGCGAGCCCATGCCCACTGGCGGGTGGCTTGGAGGGAGGGCTGCTCGGGAGTTGAAGTACTGTGTATGTCCAGAAAGCAGAGCCCATCATCAGAGGAGGTGGTTACATAAAGCCCCTGGCTGCTTCCTGGCCCAGAGTTCTATGAAGGACGACTGGCCGCAGCATCTGCTTGGACGCACAGTCGCATGCTCACTAGTCCCAGTAGGGGGAGCCTCCTCTGCCCCTCACTTCCTGTTTCCGTTGCTCTTGGAGCCCACCAAGCGTTCTGCTCCGCCCCACATTCCTGCGGTTCCTCACTTAGTTCTAGTTCGAACTGGCAGCCTGCGGCACAGGTAGAGCCCTCCGAAGTCTGTGGACAAGGTGGGCTGATGTGTTCCTCTCTCCCTGGTACCCTCCATACGGTAGACCCAGGCGGGCAGTCCTCCATCCGGCCCCAGAAGTACCACAGACCTGGTGCTCAGCCCTGCGGAATTTGACGACACCTCAGTAGGAGCCTCTTTCTAACACCTGCCTTCCCGGAACCTTTGATCCTGTACCGTTCTTTTGGATCCCAGATATCCTGGGGGCGTGATGCTCCCCGAGATGCTGTGACCCAAGAAGTCAGGTGGAAGCTGAAAAGTGTGGAATTAACTCCTTTGGTTCCAGGGGCTGCCAGAGCGTTTCCACCTCACTCTCCATGTTCTCCCCTGCCACCAGCATGCTGTGTTGTCTCTTCCTCTTTTTCTCCCCTGCCACATTCTGTTTTCTCTTCCTCTTTTTCTCCCCTGCCACCAGCATTCTGTGTTGTCTCTTCCTCCTGGCGCCTCTTGCTTCACGCTGAAACATCTTTCTCCCCACTACCTGTCTCTTCCCTAATAGCCAGCCATCTTCCCACCCTCTCCTTCTCTCCACTTCGCACTTTCCTCCTTAGGCCCACTCTCAGCAGAGTGGTTCCTTGCTCTCTCCCACCCCCATGACTGAAATTCACAGATATGAACTGCCTCCCAGTGAGAGACAGACACCTCCTCTCTCCTGACACCCCAAGAAAAATTACTATCCTGTCAGGTGTTTCTGAGTTTAACCATGCCCCATCCCCAATTCTGTCCTCCCCTGACTCTACTGAAATATTTTGGTTGCCCAAAAACTTCAGCCTGTCTTTGAAGCCAGCATATATAAAGTACTGAGTTAGACAAAATGAGAGATACAAAGTATATAAATAGAAACTACTATTTTGTTGACGCACAAGCTACATGTGTAGTAATGAGGGATGAGGGTTAATGCTCTGGATTGCAAGGTCGGTTTGAACTGCTAGGTCAGCAGTTCAAGCTCACCAGCCCCTCCTGGGAAACCCTATACAGGGTCAATATGAGTTGGAACTGACTCTGGCTCTTAACAACAACAAGGTACATGTAGGAGTTGTTAGTTGCAATGGAATCCGTTCCCACTCATGGCAATCCCATGTGTGCAAACTAAAACTGCTCCATAGTGTTTTCAAGGCTGTGATCTTTAGGAAGCAGGTTGCCAGGCCTGTCTTCTGAGGCACCCCCAGGGATTCCTATGAGGGGCTTCGCAAAATTTGTGGGGAAATTACATTACCTTTTAATTTAAAATTTCCACAAACTGTTTGAAGCACCTTTGTACATGTAGTAGAATTATTAACAATGCAAAGGGGTTGTTAAGTGCTATCAAGGCAGTTCCAGCTCATAGTGGCCCTGTATAGGGTTTCCAAGGAGAGACTGGTGAGTTTGAACTGCCATCCTTGCAGTCCTGTGTATTATCCTACAGTGCCACACCTGATTTCTAGAGTCAGACCTGGGTTCAAGTTTTCGCCCTGCCAGCTGAGTGACTTTGTACAAGTCATTGAATCATGCTTTGATTTCCTTGCCTGCAAAATGAGGGTCACTTCTGGCAAGATGGTAGACTAGGCAGAGTACTATGTGGACCCTTTATAACAAAGATATAAAAGACAAAATAAGACAGATGAAAATTCTGGCACCCTGAACTTCAGAAGAAAGGTTAGAGAGGTGGATGGAGTGCTTTCTGGGAGGAGAGGCCGAGAAGGGACAGTAAGAGAGGGAGAAGACTGACAGGTGAACAGCTAACCAGACTCAGCTCCACCATCTTGTGAGTCCCTTGGGAAGTGGACGAAAGCTTGGCAGAGCAGATTGGCATGTGTGCGTGATGGGAAAGGTATGATTTCCCCCCATCCCTCACACTCCCCTGGTGACGAGAAGTGTGGCCAGCTCCCACCCTCATCCACCCCCAGCACAGACCCTGCTCTCTGGGAGTTGGGAGCCACATCACTGTGAGTTAGGGGCAGCTGCACCACTTTGGTGCCTGAATTCAGGTGAGCTCAGCTCCAAACCTACAAAACCCGGAAAGCTACCAGACCAGCATGTAACCAGCCACCCTGCCCTCAGCTTTCCTGTTATCCTTACAGACACTGAAACCAGCTCTAGGGCCCTAAGAACTACTTCTGGACTGAGTGCCCTGAACATAGATAACACCAAGGCCAATAGGAACTCCTGCTAGGGCAGAAACTCTGCTGTCACATCCCTTCCACAACCACCTTGTGAGCTCCCCCAGAGACTTCCTTTCAGATCCAGCAACTGCACCATTTGTTTTTACAAATGTGACAACTCCACAGTGCCCCGGAGACAAGAGACAATTTTAGCTTACTCAGACAATGAGAGAATGACTCAAACAAATGACCAAGATGCAGAGACAGAAAACATTTCTGAGAAAACAAAGGTAATGGAACTAACCGAAAAAGAATTCAAACTGGGGACCATAACAGGTTGTTGTGAAGTTTAGTGAGATAATGCAAGTAAAGTCATGAACCTGGCAACAGCTGGCCAGTGGTTCCCAGACCAACAGCTTCAGAATCACCTGGGAACTCTGTTAGAAATGCAAATCATTGAGCCCGACCCCAGAATCTGAACCTGCATCAGAAACTCTAGGGTGGGTGGGGGGAGGGGGGGGCAACGACCAGCCATTTGTGTTTTCAGCAGGGCTCCCTCCAGGTGATTCTGAGGCACATGAAAGATTGAGAGCAGCTTCAGTAGATGCTCCAGAAAATGTTAGCTCCCTTGCTCCTAGGGTGAATGGCAAGTGTCCCATACGGGAGGGAGCCAACCTCTCAGAGCAGGGGCATCTCTGTGGACTTACAGGGTGTGGCCTGGAAGAGCTTCACAGAGGGGGCAGGACTGGGCTGGGCTGGATGAAGAGGGGTAAGAGAAGTCTTTCTACAAGGAATAAAGCCTGTCTGCTCCCCGCACCACAACATACACACACACACACACACACACACACACACACTTCTCTAAGGCTTCTCAGTTCCTAAACCACTGCAGATCATAATGTCTGAAGACAAAAGCTGTGCCCTAGAGTCCAGGGCTTCAAGAGCCTGAGGAACCCCTACTTCAGGTGAGGCCTACCACTGAGGATCCCATCCTTACCTGACAGGCCTCAAAACCCTGGTAAACTGCTCACGGGAATGTTAGACCCTGGGTTTTCCACACCACCGCACACTACAGTGTGGGTAGAAGATGGGAGTGACTGAAGCCCCAGTCACTGCTTCTGTTGTGGAGGGACGCTGTTCCCACCTCCCTCAGCCTCTGCTCTCCTACCTCTGTTCCCTCTTGCTGTCTCATCTCTTGCTGCTCTCACTTCAGGTTACACACACACACACAACATGGGAGCAATCCTTCAGCTGTTACAACTGACCCTTTACCTCCCCCGCAAAGCCCTTCTCCTACCTGGAATGTGGCGTCCCCTCCTGCTGTTCCTGCCTCTCCCCTCTCCAGGCACAATCTGGTGAACAGCTCTTTTCTGTCCCAAGTGTGGGAAGCACTGCAGCCAAAGGGCCCACATGGCCCTGCACCTACATGGGCTCCCACATGGGTGGCCAGCCCTGCTACCACAGCTCACAGTTAGCCTAGCACCGCCCCACTCACCTCCCGAGCATCCCTATTACCACAGCCAGGGTGACAAGCACTTCTCCAGAACTCTGGCCTGTTTCAACACTTCTCTGTACACACTGAGTGACCCTATGTCCATGCCAGCTGTGGATGAGGCTTTGGTCACTACCCCAGTCTCATCTGCCATGGGAAGTCACACTTGGGTTAGAGCCCTTCCCTCACCCAGAGTGGCAAACTGGCCCAGACACTTGGAGAAAATGAGCTACCTGTGCAATGGGTGTGGCCCTGACTTTGGCCATCACCACTTGGAGCCTCTGCCACCCCCACCAGTCTTCCTGCCAGGATTTGGGCCTGCTTTCCCCCCAGGTACTGGCAGTGGCCCACCACCACAGTGACAAGCCCTTCCTCTGCCCCCACTGCGGGC